TGTTGTATTTATTACAATATAATACATGTGATGTGTATATTACTACATAATACATGTCATGTGTTTACTATATTACACACTAAGATTTTAAATGACCAATTAATTCAAGTCCTGACATTTCCTCTGTGACGATACTAATTATTCAAACGTTTGTATGAAATTACTTCCAATGTCTGAAGAGCTACATTATAACTTTAGATATGATACTTAGTTCTTGTGAAAGTTTATGACTCAGAAGAGAGTGTGTGTGTCGTTTTTTTTTTTTTTATCTTTGTTGTTGTTGTTGTTGTTTTTAATTATCCAACTGTGCTACTTTCCTCGGATTATAAAACACTTCTAATTTTTGAAAAAATAAAATTAATAATTGTTCTCATCAACTTACAGATACATAAGCAGGCTAAGAACTTTACGGCGTCATCGGGTGGGTCGCAGTCGGGGTAAATGGGTCGTAAGACGTAGAAGGAAAAGGTGAGAGCGACAATAGCTTGAGAGCAAGGCCTAACGATCATACACTCCACCCACAGCCGAATAAACGCCACAAATGCGCCGAAGGATTCCATAATATAGGCGTAATCGGCTCCCGTCTTGGTGATCATGCATCCTAACTCCGCGTAGCAGTACGCCCCAACCATGGAGAATACGCCGCAAATAATCCATACTATGAGGGACAGTCCAACGCTACCGGTTCCTTTTAGTACTCCCTTGGGCGATACAAAAATTCCAGATCCAATAATACTTCCAACAATCACTGTTATACCGTTCGTTAGGGTCATCTTCGGCTTTAAACAAACCGTCTCGTCATCTTTCTTGATGACGTTTTTGTCATCATTGCCTACAGCACCTTGCAAAGGATCGTGATTTTTGGTGTCTTCTCCCATCTTGACAATGTCACCTCAGAAACGACGAAGAACTACAAGTTAAGGTTCCGTTGTTTGCTGTTAGGCCTAATATTTTTTTTTCTTCTTTATACGGAAATTCTAGAGGAAGATTGGGTTATTCCTAAACGTTTAAAGATTGTGATAAATATTTTATGTCTGTGAAACACACGTGAAGCTCTCGCCCGTGTTTCTCAGGGCTGTCTTGTCAAATCCGTGCAGATTGCAGCGTAAATTGTAGCGTGCGAACAGTGCGCATGTGCATAAGGATATAACTTATTGGTCGTCAACGATTTTCGTCAACGTTATGTAAAGAGAAAGGCTAGTGGGCGGTAATTTACCGACAAAAAAAAAATCGACGAAAAATAAAGAGTCAAAGGCATGAATTTGGGAAAATAATTATCTCAATTTTATATTTAAAACTGTAATAATCGTGTTTAAGCTTTTTTCACAAACCTAAAGGATAAATCTTCCAGATAAAATATCTGAGCAAGAAAAAAAAAAGAGTATTCTAGAAGTTAGACCATGGGGCAGATGACATTTGAATAATAACCCCAAAATTGGCATTTTTATAACAAGGAAAAAAATTCAAATTTCTATAACATTAAAAACTAAAATACTTTTTTTTATAATTTGCGAAAAAGGCGACGTTGTGTTGGGCGTGGCTTTGTGGTTAGCATGCCCAGACTGTTAATTCAATGATAAACGGTTCGCGACCCATTCCTGCAAAAAAAACGCACCCTACACTTTTGGGCCGTGGGTGCGTTATAGGAGTGAAGGTCAAATCTCACTATTCGGTCAGACAACAGTAGTTCAAGAGTTGGCGGTGGGTGATGTTGACTGGTAGCCTTCCCTCTAATATCGTGCATGAGTTCCAAGTTAGGGATAAGTTAAAACATACGAACAGCAAGGGTACGTTTGGTCCTTCAAGGATATCCCTGCGCACGTATCCTTCGGCAAAAACTTGAATTTATTCTTTTAATTTACTGCCGACGATAGACTAAATCCGTAAATCAATCACAATATAACTGTTTGTTTATTTGCTGGGATTGACCGTATCATTCTAACGCCCCCATGGCTGAAAGCGCGAACATGTTCAGTAAAGGGATTCGATCCCGTGAACAACAGACTACGGGTGTTTAAAAGTATCAATCACAATATAACTGTTTGTTTGTTTGCTGGGACTTGCGCAAAGCTACTCGAGGGATATCTGCGCTAAGCAGTCCATAATCTTGAAGTGCTAGACTAGAAGTAAAGCAGCTAGTTAAAAGCACTTACCAATGGGATTGACCGTATCATTCTAACGCCCCCATGGCTGAAAGCGCGAACATGTTCAGTAAAGGGATTCGATCCCGTGAACAACAGTAAAGAAAACTAGTACGTTAAGAGATGTCTCCATCAAGCTAGTGAACCTGGACCCGCCGTGTCATGTTAGCATTTAAGAAACTTTACTGCTCCTCTGGCTGTAATAACTTTCAACCGTATTTGTTTTATAGCAAAGCCACATCGGACTAACTGCTGTTTCCACCGCGGGGAATCGAACCCCGGATTTTAGCGTTGTAAGTCCGTAGACTTACCGCTGTCCCTCCGGGGGGGACAATTTTCAACTGACAGACTGAGGTACTGTAGCTAGACAATAGTGCTCACAGCCAATTTTGGAATTATTTCTATACGAATAGTGGGATTTGACCGTCATTCTTATAACGCATCTACGCTCCTGAAGTGCTGTTTTTGCTTTAAAGGGACGCGAGCCATAGACCTTTGATGATGATTTAAAGTTCGACACGTTAACCATTGGAAAACGCCCAACGCTCGGTAGAAAAATGTTTTACGTAAAGCATCATTATAAACACAAGCTTTGACTGATTGACAGCAGAGATATAAAATTGGTTGAATAAACTGTATTACTGGCAGGACAGGACTTTAAACACAACCCTGGCAACTTACACTGGCGGGTTTAAATTTTTTAAAGTTAAAATACATTCCTTATTTTTATCTCTCGCGAAAGTGCAACAAAGTATTTCTTTTGTTTAGTTTTTAAAAAAAAAGATAACAATGAAACACATACTTCGAGCATAATTTTAAAATTATTTTGTCTAGTTCCAAAAAAAACCGTAAGGGGGCACTTTATCAGCCAACCACTGCTTGTGGTCTTGAACCTGGCTAAGACCGGCAAAATATTAATATAATTATCATGATTTCTTTTGCTGAATTTAGCGCAAAGATTCTGTACCAGTAATCCTTAATGTTGAAGTAATAGACTAGAGGGAAGGCAGCTAGTGAATACCACCCACCGCCAACTCTTGAGTCACTCTAATCGAATATAAAGTTATATTATACAGTCATAAAGCACACACGATCCCAAATAGCGTTTTTTTTTTTGTTGTTACTATTTTTTTATGGTAAAGGGTTACGAAGTATAGAATGTTTGATCCACAGACCAGCACGCTAACCATTGGGCCACGCTCTGCCCCAATAATCAAGAAAGCTTTCGTAGTGCAAAGTTACAAAAAAAAAGTGATATAAACCTGTCAAAATCTGAAAAAATTTTACAAAAAACGAAAATTATGGTGTGTATATATATATATATAATTAATACCACACTAACTTTACATAATTAAAGGAAAATTACACATACATACATATATACATATATATATATATTAAAGTACCAAGAAACTAAGATATGACTTAAGCAAGCTGGGTTAATAATACGAATAAAAAAAATGTTGACTGTCATCTTGTATTTAAATGTTTTTATCCGGCTAAACCATTTAAAAGTTTTTCAATTTTCTTCCAATAAAAAAAAAAAAAGTTTTTAAAATAATGGTAACTAACATTCTTAGGGTATTAATTATATATATATATATA